AGCTTATATCCCTTGACATGGGTGCACTCATAGCTGGGGCCAAATATCGGGGAGAATTTGAGGATAGTTGAAGGCTGTACTAAGGGAAGTAACAGAATCAGAGGGCCAAACTATTCTCTTCATTGATGAGATTCACACAGTTGTGGGGGCAGGTAATGTTTTTGTTGAGTTTCCAATTTTATAGGTTGATTATCCAATATCTGTAAAGCTGGCTGAACTGTCAAAGCTTTTTTGTCTGTTTGTGTTGGTGTTTATTGGTTGTATCAGTTTGTGAAAGTTTACCTCTTCTACTTGATTGGACATAATTGTTCTTCATGGAAATTATGTGTTTCTCTCCTGATGAAATTCTAAGGTTGATAGGCTGGTATTAATTGATTCCTGTTCTATGGAAATGATCTCTGTTTTAGGTGCCACGAATGGTGCAATGGACGCAGGCAATCTTCTGAAGCCAATGCTTGGTCGGGGAGAACTGCGATGCATTTGGGCAACAACACTGGATGAATATCGTAAATACATTGAGAAAGATCCAGCCTTGGAGCGTCTTTTCCAGCAGGTTTATGTTGATCAGCCATCAGTAGAAGATATAATTTCTATACTCAGGAGATTTCGTGAGAGATATGAGCTGCACCATGGAGTCCTTATTTCTGACAGTGCGCTCGTGGAAGCTGCAATCTTGTCTGACCGTTATATCAGTGGCCGATTTTTACCTGACAAAGGTAATATACAAACAAAAATATAATAACTGGGAATTGATGACCCTAATGCAAGTTGCAACCTGAGAGTATAAAACACTATCGATTAACGGGTTATCATGGCAAGAGTTGGAATAATTTTGTGATGTACCGCTAACCAATTTAACTGTCTTTATATTTTCTATTTTCCCTGTTATGTGGTTGGTTGTTAGGTTTAAGACAATTAGCTGCTTGAGTTTCTTAAACATCTTGTATGTTTTTTCTAACACCACCTTTTTAGTTTTTTGAAATCATTTTGAGTACTAATATATGGTTTCAAATTGCAGCTATTGACCTAGTTGATGAAGCAGCTGCTAAATTGAAAATGGAAATCACTTCAAAACCCACTGCCCTTGATGAGATTAATCGTTCAGTATTGAAGCTGGAGATGGAGAGGCTGTCTCTTACAAATGATACTGACAAAGCTTCAAGAGATAGACTTAGCCGCCTTGAGGCTGAGTTATCCCTCTTAAAAGAGAAACAAGCTGAATTGACTGACCAATGGGAGCATGAGAAGACTGTCATGATGCGCATTCAGTCAATCAAGGAAGAGGTATGCAAGTGTTTTCTAGAAACTTCTTTAAAAGTTTAATTTTCTTCCACCATGTTATATCATTTGTCATCTGCGAGAATGAAGACCAATTCTTTGAATGTTCCCAGATTGTTCCCCTACTAATATTAATGTAGAAGCTGATGATGGGGCTGACCTTTATTTTACATTAATTGAAGACAAAAGGAGGTAGTCCACTAACTGTTCTACTTGTATAGATTGACAGGGTAAATGTAGAGATCCAGCAGGCTGAGCGGGAGTACAATCTCAATCGTGCTGCTGAGCTGAAGTATGGGAGTTTGAACTCTTTGCAGTGTCAACTTGCTATGCAGAAAAAGAATTAAATGAGTACTTGAAATCTGGAAAATCCATGCTGAGAGAAGAAGTTACAGGAAATGATATTGCTGAAGTAGTTAGTAAATGGACTGGCATACCAGTTTCCAAGCTTCAACAATCAGAGAAGGAGAAACTATTACATTTGGAGGAAGAGTTGCATAAACGTGTTGTGGGTCAAGATCCTGCAGTTAGATCTGTAGCTGAGGCCATTCAGCGATCTCGAGTCAGTCTCTCAGATCCCCGTCGTCCAATTGCCAGTTTCATGTTTATGGGTCCCACTGGTGTAGGGAAAACAGAACTTGCTAAGGCCCTTGCATCCTACTTGTTTAATACAGAAGAAACACTAGTTTGCATTGATATGAGTGAATATATGGAAAAACATGCAGTTTCAAGACTTATAGATGCTCCTCCTGGTTATGTAGGGTATGAAGAAGGAGGACAGCTGACAGATAGTTCGCCGGAGGCCCTATGCTGTAATTCTTTTTGATGAGATAGAGAAAGCTCATGCTGAAATATTTAATGTTTTCCTTCAAATCTTGGATGATGGGAGAGTCACTGATTCACAGGGTCGTACTGTGAGCTTTACCAACACCGTTGTCATTGTGACTTCAAATGTGGGTTCACAGTGCATTCTTAACTTGGATGAAGACACACCAAAAGATATAGCTTATGAAACTATTAAGCAGAGGGTGATGGAGGCTGCAAGAGAATTCTTTTGGCCTGAGTTTATGAATCGTGTTGATGAGTATATAGTGTTCCAGCCTTTGGACTGCAAACAAACAGTATTGTGAGATTACAGGTAAGGTCCTTTTTATGAATTTATTGTCGCATAATTGCTTGCATGTGCATTTACATTCTGTGGATATTATTATGATGGCAAAGGATATTCTCAATTTCTCAAACCATTTCATATCCATTATAGTATGTAATAGGGATAATAATTACATTATTTAATTATGATAATAATCTAAAAAAAGAAATACTATAACAATGGTAAATAAATAACTAAAGACTACAGTTGTATTATGATGCTGCTGCTGATTCTTAAACGGTCTTTGTAAGAATGATGCAGTTGATTTGTTGGTCATCCTTGAATCTGATATTGCTTGGTTTGGGTTTCTTCTCTAGACTAGATTTTGATTCAGCAAGTCACTAATTGTGCCCTTTATTGATAATTTTCTTTTAAATGATCAATTTATGCTTTACAGTGTTAAGGTAGGACTCATATGATAGATCTCTGTTCCTGTTGCAATAGAGAAATACTAGTCCGTATCACATCGTCAAAGCTCACATTGTTTCTCTGTAGTATCTGCCTTATATAGTTTATCACTCCCTTACCATTTTTTCTGTGCTTGTTTCACAGCTGGAACGTGTGCAAAAGAGGATTGCAGATAGGAAAATAAAACTTCAGGTGACAGACACTGCTGTTCAGCTTCTCGGTAGTCTTGGTTATGATCCAAACTATGGTGCTAGACCAGTCAAAAGAGTGATTCAGCAGAATGTCGGAAAGGAACTTGCCAAGGGCATCTTGAGAGGGGAGTTCAAGGATGAGTATACTATCTTAGTAGACACAGAATTAACAGCATTTGCTAATCGCCAGCTCCCCCAGCAAAAGCTAGCCTTCGGGAGACTCGAGAGTGATTCAGATACTCAAGCAACAGATAGTCAAGAAGCTTTACCACAGACTGTCTGACAGTTGTACGTAAGTTTAACCTAAATCCTATAGGTTTTACACAATTTTGTGCAAGGAATACCATAGCTCACTCTTGAATCTCATATTGTATATGACTTCTCTTTCAAGTCACAACTCACAAGTTATATCCGTTATGTTCTTTTACTGATGATTGTAATGTTTCTTTAAAGTAATCATGGCTCACTATGCTTCCAATGCTTACCTAAATCCATTTTGGCTCAAATGTCTTTGTTCCAATATGACTAATGCATTCTCAGAGAAAATGGTGCCAATGGAACATTCTGATATTCTTTGCAGCTAATCTAGTTTCCACTGGGTTACTGCTTAACTGGAATATCATTGCCTGTGGCATATTTGGCATAAGGTCTAAGGCAGGAGTTAGAAATTAAACATTAATATGTCATCCCTTTTGTTTAGAAACTGATATTAGTGACAAATGAGTAAATGCGTCCAGAAAACACTTTTGATGAATCGTGTGGCCATAAACTCGCAATGCAACTTTCCATTTCCTGGCAGTTTCACAAGCACCAATGACAAGATTATAGGATGCTGTTGAAACCAACAATCCTGAAGCTACCATTTGCCATAAAAGCTGCAAGGCCCTATCCCATGAACCAAGCTTCTGGCATGACATTAAGGCAGTGTTGTACAGATGAACATTAACTAGTGAGCTCTTTTCTCTTATTCTCACAAAAGAGGTGATGAGCATCAGCATGTTGATTTGCCTTGTACAAAGCACCAAGCAGTGAATTCCATGTGATAGCATCCGGTGTATGACCCAAGGATTTCATAATATCATAGATTTTAAAAGCTAATTTGACCTCTCCAGCTTTTCCGAGTGAATTAATTAATGCATTGCATGCTATTGGATTTGGCTTCAATCTAGATAAATAGATAATGCCAAATCCCATTTTTCTTCCTTTATGCATGCGCTAATCATGGCGTGCATTGTATCATCCCGGGGTTCCAACCCATTTTGAATCATCTCATTACAAGCATGAACTGCCAATTCATGCCGATTACGCCAAACAAAAATGTTAACTAGCAGGGAATAAGTGATCTGTGTCCCAAGATAGCCATTTTCCTGGATTCTTAACCATAACCTCTCAGTTTCAACCCAATTGTTCAATCTTCCACAAATAGATATTGTTGCATTACAAACAATCACATCAAAACCTTTTTTTCTGTTCAGAATCCTCTTCCAATTCCTCAAACAAATCAAGGGCTGCATGACAACTCTGAGTATCCGCAATGGCTTTCAGTATTAAGCTATAAGAATGCTCTGTACTAATTTCATTTGTCTTCATGAACTCAAAAGTTGTCAACGAATCATCAAGTAGCTCATTTCTTAGCAGGCAACATTTCTGGGCCCAAAATCCACACATTGATCAACCGCCAAATTTCCCCAATGATGCAAATTTTGACCCAAAGAATGCAATATAAATTCTTCTTTGACTTTTTGAATCAAACTATTTTCATCATCATCTTCACAAACCATCTCAGATTCAATATAGCAACCATCTTCAGTACATTAACCCCATTATCTATCCTATTTGACTCAAATGGCAAATTCATTCTTGACATTTTCGTTCGGGCCAAACCAAACACATCGATGGAAGCTTAGCCTCCATTGACCCACACGCCTTCTATAAATCTTCACAGCCAACCCGCCATAAAAGCAACCATAAAGACACCTATAACATACAACGATTTCTACCTCTACTTTGACTACATGATTGATATCGGCATCCAAACCCAGTAGATGTTATGTCAAATGAAGCTGAATAAGTCAACAATTCTCCCATAACTTAACACTAAAGAATGTCAATAAACAGAACAAATAATAAAAACTTCACTCAAAATTCAAACTGTTCGAGCAAAAGCCCCAACTTCAAGAGCTTTTAACCAATTATAAGATAAACTTTAAGCATAACTATTTAAGCAATAGACCCTTATCAGTTCTTCCAAGAAAGTATATTACTTTGGTTACCCATAAAAAAGATTTGAACTTTGAGGTTTATATAAGCAAATAGAAAAGACCCAGTTCAAGTTTAGAACTTGTCAAGGCAAAAACAGAGAAACTGCGAGTTGAAACGAAGCAGAGTTACCAGCAAACAGCGAAGTGAGTCCAAAGATATGAGTGGGTAGTGGGAGATCCAAGAAACTTTACTGTTTATGTTAAGATAATAGCCAAAACGACACTGTTTTGAAAGGCTCTTGAACGCACCGTTTGAAGCTCCTCTAATTCTAATATAAGCTGTTCTACCGGCCCAGTAGAGAGAATACTGAGCACAGTTTCACTTTCCCAAGAATTGAACAAATGGGTAAAGTTGATTCTTTTTTTTCTTTCGGCAAAATTTCCTTTTTCTCTTATTTTATGTTTGTTGTTCATCGTCCTTTTGAGTATTGATTTTTCCCATTTTTTGGATTGGAATGATTTAAAGAAGAAGAAAAAGAAGTGGGAGAAGCATCAAAGGAAGTGAGAGTTGGGGAAGTGAAGGAAGGAGTGGCATCAATAGCATTATTGCCAAGTGGGAGCCTTTCAGGCCACTTCATTCAGCTTCCTCAATCTATCTGCTATGGCCTTCATGGCACTGGTACTTCCTCAATTCTTTCATCTTTGTTTTTCTTTGAGCTTGCTAGTAACTGGGTTTTTTTTGGTTGTTTTGTTTTGTCATTAATTTCATGTGGAAATCAGTTATTTCCTGTCTATTCATATAAATGGGTTTGTGTAAGGAACTAATGGAAAAATAAGAGGGTCTCAGGCTATAATCAATTTGTGGAAAGTTGTCTGCCTGTAAATTGCTTGTTTATTACTATTATTTCCTTAGGTTCGATTAGAGGTGTAATTGCGCTGAATCAAGTCCATACAATGGCAGGCTCGAGTTCGACTCCATATGAAAACTCTACCTAGCTCGAGTTTGACTCAATACGAAAACTTGACCTGGATCCAGCGTCATTTTCATGTTCAAACTCAGACTGTAATTTAATTGAGTACTTGAGCTCGACTTAGTAGGTTCGATTAAGTTCGGTAAAGTTATAAATATTGAAATTAAATATTATATTTTTATATATAATATTAAATATATTAAAAAATAAAAGCTCAATTAGGTTTGCAAATCTCTCGAGTTGGGTATTAAACTACTTAAACTTGGCTCAACTTGTTACTGGAGTAGGTCGAGCTCGAGCTTGAGCTTGGCTTAACAATCAACAAGTTGAGTTTGAATTTTTTTGAGTTGAACCTGAATAGCGGACGAGTACATGTTACACCCTTAGGTTTGATTAAGTTTTAGTTCATTAGTCACACAAATTTCTTTTAGCTACTTAAATTTCTTAATTGCTTTATATTCTAACACGTGATTGACTTGTAATCGCAAATGGCACAAAGTAATGGAGAAAATGAAATGTATATGCTAGTATCTTTCAGAGTTTAAATTTAATTTTCCAGAGTCATTCAGTATTTTAGATACTGAAGGATGCATATGATATTGTGTATTTCATTGTTTAGCTTGGAGGATATTTAAACCACCAAAAAAGTACTTGTAGTGGATGATTAAGATATTGGATATCATCCAGTAAATTTCTCTACCTTAATTATTTTTCACCAGAAAATTGGGTTCCTTGATCAATTTGTAAGCTATTACTGAAACTTTTTTCGGAATCGTTTTGGTTTTGATGCTTTTTATGCAATCTTTATCCTTCCATGATTAAAGAGTTGGCTTGTGAGATGGAGTGCAGCAGGGGTGAGGATTACCGCTTGATCAAGCTCACAATCATAGACTACAATGTATGAGCTGTATGCCTTGAGTTTTTCTTTTTTGTTTACAGTCCCAGTAATTGTCTTCCAAAAAAGAACCTCTTTTTTTTAAAAATAATACTTCTCCTTTTCATTTTTCTCTAATTAGTTTTAGTGTCTGACAGAGTAAGAAGGAGCAGACTGTTGTAGTGGAGTGTAGAGGGCATGATGCTGCTCGGTTCCGTAACATTGACCATGCTCATGGGTAAGCCATCCATGGATGAATTTGCTAAATGTTAGAGAAATTCAAGAAAGACATCAGTAACAAACTCCACCCTTAAACACCCTTGACATAGACATTTGAGCTTTAGATGGTTTCTACTTTCATAAAGTATAAGTTTCTGAGCTTAAGTGTTTTCTGTTCAAATCAATTTTCCCTGCAATGAGCACACGGATAACAAATGCCATCTCTTGTTGTAATTCATTTTTGAGACAGTTGGGAGAAGGATATTGTGGATATGGTTGAACAAAAAGAAGGGAAGAAAAAGGTTTTGATCTCATTTGAGTGTGAGACACTAAAATCTGACAAAGCAGCTGAAGACCATATAAAGCAGTTCATGCCTAAATTATCAGGGCTAGATGCTGTTGGTATGATCAATCCCTTTTCCTTATTTTCAATTACCAAATATGAGGAAACTCTTTGACCATGCTGCATTTGGCTCCTTCAAACTGCCACTATGTCTTAGATGCATGGCAATTTCAATTGGGTTAATGTCTTGAACGGCTTTTGAACTATAATGAAATTTTCAATATAATTTTTAAACTTTAAAAATATTTAATACAGTATCCGAACTATAAATTTGCTAACTAATGTGGTACTTGAAGAATTATTTATCAATCATACGTCATCATTTGGAGTAAATTACATTAAAGGTAAGTACCATATTAGTTAAAAAATTTCACATTAAAGATTTTTAAAATTTAAGAATTATATTGAACATTTCATTATAGTTTAGGAAGTTCAAGACATTAACCCATTTCAATATAACCTCAGCTACTCAAATTTTTGTTTTCATTTTCTCTATCGTCCAAACTTCTAGCTGAAATTACCTCTTGTTTTGAAACAACCTCAAAATGTTCTCCTATGATGCAGCTTTAGTGTCATGTGTGCCTGAAATGCATGTTAAACCCCCTAACTATAGTTTGGATTGCAGTTAATATTGGACGGATGAGCATATCAGGGTTGGACTTTGAAGCAGAAGAAGCAGATTCTAAGCAGGATTTATCAACTCCTTAAGATGTATATTCTCCTTGTGTAATTCACCAGAATATGAACATATGAAAGCAATCTAATCTATTGCTTTTGTTGAGGTGAATATTTTTTTATATCTGATTTCTGTCTATGAGATGAGTTCATGAATAAATATTCAATATCTCACTGCCATTCCTGGATCCAACTCCCAAATGACTTCTATTATGAGAACCAAGGCTTCTAATTGTAAACTTGGTGCTTCAGAGATGTATCAGAAAGCTACAATCATCCAACAGATTTTCAAAGTTGAGGGAACATTGATGGATGGTAACTCCAAAAGATTGAATGAACATTTTCAGGGAAGAAAAGAAAAAAATTAACTTGAAGAAAAATTATCTAATACATGGTGAAAATTTTAAATTGTACAGCCAAATTAAAAGATTATAGCATACTCAGACTCGTTAAGATGTACTTAAAAAAGTTTTAATAAAGTAGTATTATAATAAACACATGACAACATTCTAATTTCATTTGTGGAGTTGTAAACTTTAACAACGGTGCATGAAATAATATTTCTAACTTCAATTACTTGAAAATTATTCATTCTCAACTCACCATTTACAAAAACCTGATTTGACTTCCAAATGGCTGAAGTAGCTTTGAGTTAGGAGTTCATTAACATCTGTCTGACATAGTCATTCTAACTAGGTATTTTCTTAGTAAAATTTATTTATAATTTTATATAAAAACATACAAAGCAAGTTTTTTTTTTCTTTGAGCCAATGAGCCAATTTGAAGTCAACTCAAATTCAAGTAGCAACAAACTAGCATTTTGGCAAAAGGGAATGCATCATAGATCGGAGACTTAATCCAATTGATTCATGCAGCTTTAAAAGGTAGCATTCAACAGGTTTGAGATTCAAATCCTACTTTGCAAACCCTTTTTCTATTCCTAGACTATGGAACTCCCTTCTTGCAAATCGGATTAGGAGAAACCCTTTTCAAAGATCAACGGAAGATAACCTTCAAAATCAAGATGAATTTCTTTCGAAAACCCTAAACCAATCAGCTATTCAAACACGAGCAATACATAAATGTACAACATACATGGTATGTAGGTATTTACATGTTCACAGTGACCACTGTTAACCAATGGATAATTGAATAGCAAATGGTTAGCACTAGATTCTAGCCCTTGTAGAAAACACTTGGTGAGGGCTAGACAAGCAGCAAAACACCTCTGAATAGAGGCCAAGTTATGATGGTTGATTTCAGGTCCTGAGAAACAAAGTTGGAATACCCCATCTTGTCTCCACCCTATCTATATCTGATCCACCAGAAGATCAATCCACACATGAGATGATAAACCAACTGCAAACAACATGATAAATGTAGTCAGATATAGGCATATTTTGTCAACTAAGAACTCGTACAAACTCCCCAACAAAAAGTTAATTACCCTACACCATATGCTTGCTGGCTATATCAGAAAGTATAACTACATAATTTTAGCAAAAAAACCAAGTAAGCTTACTAAGAATGTATATTCGCCCCGAGGAAACAAAGGTGTTTAAGAAAGTAACCGAATTTTACATCATGACTAGCTCGAGAAAAAGAAGGCTCTTATGGTTCTTGCCTAACAGTATCATTGTATATATAGACTGTCAACATTTATTTCCTCCAAACTCTCTCTCTCTCTCTCTCTCTCTCTTATGTCCAAATAATAAAAAATGCAGGTAATATGAAGGATGATGTACGTACGTTAACAATTACTTTAAACCCCGTCTGCCAAGGGGGAACCAAAATACTTGCCTCAATGCTAGCACCCAAGATCGGAGTTTCCATTGAGAAATTTGGGTGTGAATGAACCATAAACAATCATTTGCAATTCTCTCAAACGTTTTAACCCATTCTTTTTTGAAAAATATGAATGCTTGCTGCGAGAGATTACCTGGTTCGCATTCAAACTATCACTCTGGTTCAGATGCCTCTTCAGAATCAGACAAGGGTAAAAGGGTGCACATGCCAAGCATATGTCCATTAAGACACACATAATACTCAACGCAATCCTCATAAGCACCCAACCTACAGCTTGCACTTTGTGGTATCATTTTAGCTTGCAGCATGTCCCACAACTTTGCCTTACAATAAGGGCACACAGCTGTTGGATGAAGCTTGGCACCCCTGTCAATCAACAACTTCCGAACCTTTGAAACAAAGAAGGACTTGAAAACTCCTCGGAAAAATCCCACATCGCCCTCATCCCCTTGGTCAAGATGTTCACAAGGGTCAGACACATATAGAATATCTGTCCTGCACTGTGGTAAAAGGAAACTCTTGCCTGAGGTCCTAGAGAACCTGGTTCTGTAAACAAAATGGCCAGGGATTTGAATATTATTGAACAAGCGACCACTGCTACTTCCTGAACAATAAATAAGCAGCTTTCCAAGTGCTCTCCAGTTCCCATCAACACTGTGACTTCCACTAGATTGCAGATCAAGCATCATCTTTGGGGCCCTTGTTTTGCAGAACTCCTTCCATAGTACTCTCTTGGCAAGATCATCGAACCATTTGCATGCACATGAAAAAGTGGCAATCAACTTAGGATTCCAGTTCAGATGTTGAAACACTAGGAACATCACATCTTCACTTAGATGACCTTTTGTGCATTGACAACTAGATGAGTGTATGCAACGATACTGCTTTGTTAGAATCATTGTCTCCACTCAGTACAAGCAAAGAAACAATGATCATATGTCCTGGTTATACAAGCCAATAAAACATCATACTTAGACCCAAAGTTTTAGTATCTTGAATATCCAGTTTATGAACCAGAAAGGTTGGCATAAGCTATATTCTGAAAGGATGACTACAAAGTAAGATTTCTCAAAATGGCTTAGAAGCTCAAAAACCAATTTCCCCTACTTAGCGAAGGAAAGAGCAAAAACAAAAGGTGTTATCATAAATGACTTGAAAATTAACAGCATAAAGTATAAATCATTTTCTTGGAATAAAATAAAGCAAAGAAGAGCTAAGGCTTCATTGCAGATTCATGCCTTAAGATATATTCTAGCCAGGCGGCCCAGGCAGCAATTCCCAGGAAACTCAGGGGAGTGAGGTCTACTTCTGGCTCCCAATCTAAATTTCAAATCCAGACTATATACTTTCTAAGCCAAAAAAGTGAGGATGTCTAGGTATGATCCACAATCTGCTCTATGGAGGATCAAATTACTTTTTAACTAAAGGTTTTTAGTTTTTGTCTCTGTGCAAAGGAAGAGTTGCGGTGGGAAGAGGAGATAGAGAGATTAAGATGCCATAACAACATCGTTGAGAGCTCTCAAACCTAGATTTAAACAACGAAGGAAGATATCTCTTATCTTAATCACATGTCAAATGTAACTCTAAACTGGTCGGATGCTCCAATAGCAGAAAGTTAACTTAAGGTCCTAGCTTCAGGTCCTATCGGAAGGACAGTGGGAAACCCAAAACAAAGAAATATAATGTACCATGTAAGAAGTGGAAATGGATTTTTGGACAATGGATTACAATGAATACTTTAATGACACTAAACTTTACATTTCAACTTCAAAAATCTCCATAATTCATAACCCCAGCAATCACAACTTTTACATATCTTTCCATCTTAGTTAAAGAACTTGTTCACTTTAAGAGTTTTTTTCCAAGTAACTACTTTTTCTTCTGAATGAAAAATAACTTAGATTCTTAGATCAAACAACAATATATTAACACTTAATTTATTCCATCAATGCCTGCCATTAACTTGTCAAAGCTCAGATTCAAAAGAAACCCATTTTGCAAATTCAACTCAAATGCTTAATCCAATCAAAACCGACTTAACTTCTCCACTAAATTCTCCAAAATCAACATTATAAATTAAAGGAAAAAAAACCAAGAATTAAACCCATTACAAAATTAAATAGAAAAATTAGCACGGGCAAAAAATTACAAGATCAAACTAAAACTCTCACCTTTAGCTTGAAAGAATCTTCCTTACATAGTCTTTAGACCTTTAAAGATACATCAAAGTCCGCAAACAACAAAAAAAAAAATGACAAAAATATTAGGGTTTTCTTGAATTTACTAGAAAAACCTGCAAAAAATGAACTACAAAACAAAATTTAAAATATAAAAAATATGAATATAAAAGTTTACATGAGGAATTCAATCTGGGTTTGAACATCTCTAGATGGGCATTTTGTTGAAACAAAAATATCTATTTTTTGCAATCAAATCCTAGAGAAACGGTGGTGATAGAAGACTCCTGGGAAAGCAAATAATAAATATTAAATATTTTCAGGAAAGGTTAATCCTACATAGAAGTATTTTTCCTTACATCAACGACTAATTATATAAATCCACGTGTGACTAGGAAATGTAAATAGTTTTTGTTTGCCAACTTTTAATTACGTGGCGTTAATTAATTGGAGGTTGGAGGTCATTTAAGGGACGGAGACCATCAGGGATTTGAGATTTTACTGTTAGTTGTTTAAAATTTCGTATCGGGACCTAAAAAGGTAAAATGACATGGTAGTACACTGTCCACAGAAAGATTCTAAAGCACTCACGTTTTGCCACGTGGTGAATTGATTTTTTTTTGCTTGGGTGGCATCTCGTCATTGGCTGTTCCATTTTTCCATTGTCTGAACTCCGAAGAGCTTTTCCTTTTCTTTTCTAACTCTTCTATTTTATTAAATTGTTTTATTTTTAAAAAATAAAATTTGCTTAAAAAATTATGAATGAATATTATTATTTTCATAATTTATTTATATAATTAATAAATTTAATATTTTATTTATAATTATTAATTAAGTTTAATAAATAATATAAATAAAAAATATTAAATTTATTCACAAAATATTCGTTGAAGATCTTATTTATTTACACCTTAACAAATTGATATAATGATTATAAAATACAACTTCAATCATTTATTTTTCTTATACTGTTGGTGTAATTTTTTGTTTTTTTTTTGGTTCAATAAGAAGATAATGTTTTTGTCAATCGAGCTTAGTGGAGTTGATGAAGCTCGAGTTTGAGCTCAACTCTCAATTTACGGTTCGATACTCGACTCTTATTCAATTGAGTTTTATTTTTTTAATTCAAGTTTGATTCGTGATTGAATTTAAGCTACTCAAATTTACTCGATTAAACTCAAAAATATGTAAAAATAAGCTTGATTTTTATATTCGATAAGAGCTTGATTATTTGTATTCGAGTTCGAACTCAAATTTGAGATATTTTATTAATTAAAATAATAAAAAAAATTAAATATAAAAGCTCGATTAGGCTCGCGAGCTACTCGAACTGAGTATAAGAATACTCAAACTCAGATCGATCGATGAGTTGAACTACTCGAGCTCGAATTCGACTCGATAATAATCAAATTGAATTTAAATTTATTCGAATTAAATTCGAATAACTTACGAGTATTAATATATCATTTACATCTCTCTTTATCACCTTTAAGTTATTTTTAGTTTTGGTGGAACAATGTTTTAATCTTAAATTCTTAATCAATCATTCGTATATTATATCCATCAGTTTTAAGTTGAAAGGTTACATAATAATTTTACATTCAGTTAATATTTATTTAATATTAATGAATAAGCTGGATCATCTTATTTTTTGTATATTTATTTTTCAAAATAAAATGCATACAATAAAAAATGAAGGTGATAATAAACGGAGTTATGTTAAATTCAAATTTAAATTCAACGTTGTTGTAAGATTTATTAATAAAATATTAAAATTTTTATTTTGATAATTATTTAACATATTCCTTTTCTTAACTAAAAATTTAAAAGTTATTAGGAAGATATTTAAGACATAACTTAAAATGAATTAATTACATCTTAGTATTTGAATTTTAAAAAATATATAAATTAGTATTTAAAAAATATAAAATTTAAATTTTAAAATTTAAAATTATGTATCGTGTGTTAACTTAAATTCTAATTTTGATAATTATATCAGTTTATAAATGACATTTATCAAATATTATCATGTTATGTGTTCGTTATAAATACTATCAACATCTTTTTTTAATATAAATAAAAAATATATATTTTTACTTGAATCGTAAAAATTATTTAAGATTAGTCAATTATTATTTCTCACATGATATCCACACAATGTTTTTACAAATATTTAATATTTTTATTTAATAGATAACATACATAAAATAAAATTACACTGATTAGATATCATATAAACAAGTTAAATTAATAATATTATAATTTAAATTTAAATTATATATTATTTGAAAGTTCATAATACAAATTGTTATATTTTATTCCTTTTAAATACCAATTTGTATATTTCTTAAAATTCAAGTATAAAAAAAATGTAATTCAATCATTTAAAATTTGACAGATGAATATTAGAATGAAAAAAAAATCATAAATAAACGAAGTTATTTTTAATTGAATAACTAGAAAACATTCGTAAAAGAATATATAAAAATAAAAAAGAAATACTAAATGGTTATATAAGTTGGGACCTATGTATGAGTTCGCCATTTTTTCTATGGCCTTGGCATCATTCATGTTGGGCTAGGCGTTCGCTCTATCCAAGTTGGCTTTGGCTCTTGGATAAAGTTTGTTCTTCATCCCCTCTTTAAATATGTTCTCCCCACTAGGAAGGACTTGGGTAAATTTGCAGTTTGCCCTACGGGGGAATGAAGGCCCTATGGACTTATTAACATTTCAATTTCAACTAATTAGATTTTTCTTAGCCGGACAATCTCGGTCTTTTTTTTTTTTTTTTTAATTTAAGATGAAATGGTTTTTGGGCTTTGCCAATACATTTTTTTAAATTAATTTAAATAAATTTATATACATCGAATTTAACATATTTATGAAAAATTATTTTCCTACAATTCTCAAAAGATTGAAACCCAAATAACACAAAAATTAATACACTATTTTTACCACTTGAACCAACATCGCATGGTGGACATTCTCCAATTTTGCTTCACAAGAAAATAGTCCTGGAACTTCAGCTATCTCGGAAGTTGAACAATATAATTACATCTTCATTTACTTATAGAAAAATGAAACAAGAACAACCTGTGGAATATGACATGGCAAGGTAGATTTTTATTTGAAGATGATCAGGAATCTGTATTCTGATGAATTAAAAAAGATTGCACCCTCAATCCATTATTGCTTTTACTACCCAAGAGCAATAAATAATAAACCATCAAGATTTGTGGAAAACATTGCTATCAAAATGCCAACTATTTTCCTACAAAAACTCACCTTAATCTGAAACCAGCGAGGGCTGTCAACTGCACTGCCACCCAATCCAACTGAAGGAGGAAAGGTCTGGTAAAGCTACTGAATCTTAGGGCAGTTGATTTCCTTGTTTAGGCAATCGACTGTCTTCGAGTAAATTTGAAATAAAAGCTAAGTTTTCAATTATGACAGTTGACTGCTTTTGATTGTACAGTCAACTGTCATACTCAATTTCACTATTATTAATGTATTGGCATTAGAACGTAAATTTTTATCATTGATTTTAATTTTAACACTATAACATTTAATCTTATCGTTATAATAATTAATTTTAATTTTTCAAAACCAATCCCCTATCCAAAATATCCTAAATTAGCGTACAGTAAACTTACATCGGATACCACATTCTTCTATTCAGTTTTTCTCCTGCTCTTTCAGCCACAGTGCTAGAGTTGTTAACAAAATGTAATATTGTCTTTATTCTGCCTCATGCAATTAAGACATGTTGATAAAAACAACTGTGCACTAAGGGGATATTTTTTCCTGGTTTAACATCAAGCAAAATGAGGAGTCAACAACACTAAAGAAGGCCTAATGACAAAAGCCACAGGGGAAGGTATTCAAGGCAGTGCGTAACCAAAAAGATGTCTACTTAGAAACTTTCATTCAGCGGTTGGTCTCGTGCGAACAAATTAGGTATCCATGCTTGAAAGACAGAAATAACCTACAATGCACACTGTTATAAAGCTCTCTCTTTACCTCTGAAAGTACAAAAACTCCTGAGTACATTGTTTTATTCACATGATACAATCGATCATATCATAATTTCCAAAAACAAAAAGAAGCATACCCTTTACACACTGTCTGTGAAGCATGTCAAGATCGGCACACTCGGGATCAACCATTGAAATCAAGATCTAGGATTTTTAAAGTCAAAATGGTCAAATCTACTTTTACATTTCCGCAACTCCATAAGCATTGTGTTACCTCTCAGAAGCTTAGGTTTATTCTCCTACCGTTCCCCGAAAAACCAATTGTTAACATAAAAGTTCATCCCAACTCAAGTGATAGTGTTTGCTGAAGGTTTGGTGTCTTGGAGGGAGATCACAGTTTCAAATGCACCAACCAAGGCCTTAACCTTACTTTTTCGGGTTTCAACAAGTTTACTAGCAGTTTCTTCAATGACGTTATTAAACAAACCCTTTTCATCTTTCTTCCCCTGCACATCCTGGTGTCTCAAAACGACCTTTTCCCCATCATGTTTATGGTCATTCATGTCACCAGCAACTCCTCTCCTCCTAAAAGTTCTATGGCCTTCACCCTTAACATTTTGGTTCTCCCCCAGTACTCTTCCTCGCCTAAACTTGAGCCTCCTTGGACCATTATTCTCAGACTGAATGTCAACAACCTTTCCTCTCCTAAAAGATAATTTCACGGGTTGGCAATCCTTATCATTTGAGAAAACCATCCCAGCCTTTCTGGGCCTTCCTCCATTTTCCCCGTCCAAAACTTCTACTTCCGTATTTGCAGTTTCATCTTCATCATATTCAGAGTCAGAGTCATCCTCAGCATCAGTCACTATATACTCAGATTCATCTTGATCTCTTCCACTATGGGATGAAAAAGATGGAGATATAGGGGGAGACACAGACTTGGGAGATGAAACAACAGGTCGAGACAATTCAGCAGCACAAATTTCCTTTTTATGAGGTTCCAACATTATATTTTCTGTCTCCATCTTGATAACATACAGGGTTTTCTCCTGAAGTGTGTCATTGTCGCATCCATCATGTTCATTGACAGGTTGCTCTGTTTCAGCCTTTTTTATCTTGTTTTGATTTCTCTGTGGAGGCACAACTTTCAGGTTCCTCTTCTTTCTTGCATTTAGGCTTGTGGCTCTAATTAGTGGTCTTGGGGACAATGAAGCTCTTGGCAATGCCGATGCTTTCTTTATAGCTACTTTGGAGGTCACAGTCCTTTTTCCCATCTTCATATCACTGATTCCACTGTTTCTCCTGACACTTAAACCTTCTGAAGGGACAGAAGAAGGAAGGTTTTCTGCCTGAGATTTCAGCTTCAAAGAAGAAGTGCGCCATTTAGAAAAGCTCTTCTCTTTAGCTTTTGATGCAACTTCTTTTGAAGAAACTCCTACTCTCTCAGAATATGACGATCCATCCTGCTGCATGAATTTATGGGCATCAGATAGGCGGGATTTTAAATTGGGTGAAGATCTGACCTTTTCTGTCGATGTCTTTTTCTCCTCTGACTGTTTTTCATGTTTCCTGGAAGTTTTTCTCTCTGAAGTGTTTGTGGGCACTTCAAGCTCGATGGCAGAGGGATCATGGCAATGACTTCTGGAATTGGGAGAACTTTTCAGCTTGATCTTTGCCACTGATGTCTTTTCTTTCTTTGTCAGAATATGCATCCTAGAATTATTTCCATCAGGAGAGTCTGTGGACGCTTGAGGCTTGATGACCTCAGATGTACCAGCAGTATGAGTTCTGGAATTGGGGAAAGATTTGGACTTAACTGCGGATGTCTTCTTCCTTTGCGGCAATTCCAAGCTCTCAAGAGAATTTGGTTCATCACATTGCTTTTTCATAATCCTCTTCAGAAAGGAATGTCTAGCCTTTTCTTCAGACTCATGTTTCTTCCCGTATTTGCAGAAATCATGACAAGAACCCGTAGGAGCTCTCAGATACCGAGGAAGAGTTTTTTCCCTGCTGTTTCCAAAACTTGCTCCAGACAAGGAGCTTCTTCGTGAATTACCCACATCTGGCAAGTTAATATCCGGTGTCACTGGTGAACATATACTCTCCTCAGCCATGAAATACGTAGGAGAAGAGAATAAAAGTTTAGAACAGACAATCCTGGAAACCAACCAAAACTACATTAATGGTCATCATTTAGACTAGATTAAATATATACATACAGTAAAGGACTGCTAGATGAATAAAGCATAGAAGAGCACTGACCTAGTTCTATGCTGGTATTATACTAGATATTATTTAGGTTGGAGTGAATATAAAATTTGTCTACCTGGAGAACAAGACAGAAAGATTTAAAGATCGTTAAAAACTACTTCTAATGATCGATTTAATTTAAAAAATAAATTAAATATCATTAACTTTGAGAGACGACTAACTGGAACATTGGAAAGACAGTTTTACAGCAATAGACATAAACTAGAAAGCAGATAAGAACAAAGACAAAGAAGAAAGAGATAAATACAGCTACTTCACATCGATCCGGACAACAAAGAGCTTCACTTCACCATACATTTTCGATTTGGAAATATCATGAAAAATCAATTGGCATCTCCAGCTTGATTTTTCACTGTAACAATTAAAGCATTTGTCAAACTATACAACAGAAAGATAACTACGTTTCAGGAATTTCTTTTGTCTAATATACATTACCAATTATCAAAATGGCGAATATCTGAAAAAATAAAGCAGCAAATATACAGTACCACAAGGTTCATCAAAGATTTAATAACTATATGAACAAATACAACAAAAAAAAAGCTTCATTTTTTTTCATGTATAAAAAAGGCCGTCATACTACAAATATTTGGATTGCATTGAAGAGAACAACAAACAAGTTGGGCAAAGCAATAAAAGGGGTTGAAAAATTCTCTAATCTACTAATATTAGAAATTGATAAATCACCCATAAATGAAGACTATGTCTCACCTAAAATCATACCAAAGATAAGCACCAAATCAAAGTTTCATCAATATATTTCATTATGATCATAACCAAACAAAAAATGATAAAAAACAAATCAGGAAGCTTGATGATAAAGCAACTATATAAGGAAGACAAAAAAAAGAAAAAAAAATCTTTGAAGATAAAATCGAAGAAAAAATCAATGTTTGAAACAAATAAAACAGGAAACCTACCAAGACAAAGAAGAAGAAAAAGCTGAAGTTTGCTCCCAAAACCAGCTCAAAAATCACATTTTCCAAGAAACCTATTGCTCCAAACAATACAAAAACCAAAACCCATGTTGCGTTTTCTTTCAGAAAACCCAAAAAAAGCAAAAAAAAAAAGCAGCCCTTTTGAATGTAAGTAAAAACGAAGGATTAGAAACCGCTGACAAGAAGGAAGGGGAAGTTATACCTTTTTCTCTATTTCTCTCTGTGCTTAACCAGAAAGCTAAGAAAAAAGGTAACTGAAAAAAAATGAAGTGAAAGAAGGTTTGGGTTCACAATGGGAAGCTCACAAAAAGGTTGTTTCTTTGCTTGTTGAAGATCGTGCAAGCAACTGTCAGGGGTTTTTTTTTTTTTTTTCCTTTTCCTTTTTCTATGTTTGGCTTTTGCTTTCCTCCTTTGGTTTCTTGCAGATTTCAATAGAGGGAAAGGAAAAAGAGAGTGGTCCCACTAAAACAAAAACTGAAATTCCTAAACGAATAATTTAAAAGAATTTAATCAATTTGAAATTTATAGTATTGGTTTGAAATTTCCCCATTCCCCTTTTGGTGAAAAAATATTTCCAATTACTCACCTTTTTTTTTTTTTTTAATTTAGGCCATCAATATTTGAATTATAATTATTAAAATTAAAATTTTAATATTTTATTAACATATCACAATTATGTTGGCAATTACTCACAATCTCATGGAAATGAAACTAAAATATTTTAATAGAAAAAATAAATTTTAAAATATATAAACTTTATCTATACTTAAATTTTTATTTTCTAATATTTTCATTTTTATTAACAATATATTTCACACCTCAATATTGTTAAAATTTTAAAAATATTCATTTAAATATGACATTAAATAAATAATAATTATATTTAATTGAATGAAAATGCCTTGAAAGTTATGGAAGTGGAAATGAATGGACACGTTGAAGATAGATTGTTTTTCACCATTTACAAAAAGAACATGAAACTTTTGCATGTCATTGAAAGTTTTCAAAATTAAAAATATTTTCCATTTTTTTTTTTTTTTGGTCTTTATTGCTTTGGTTTCATTCCCATTTGAAAACAATTGGAATAAGAAATATCAATTTTTTTGAAGTATTTCACGTTTGAAGATCAATTGTTCTTAATCCCATCTTACCAAATAATGGCAAATGATAAATGGTTTAGATAGAGAGGAAAACAGAGAATTGATTGGAAACATAAATAAGATTCAATGGTAGAATTGATTGAACACGTGAATAAGTTTCAATCTCATCATTTTCACTTCATTAAAAGAAAATTTTTATCTAATAACTAAGAATGTTTGAAAAAAAAAAAAAGATATGGATTTGAATTTCATCATTTCCGTCATCTATCCCTTTTCAAATGAACGAAAATCTCATTATTTCATGGTCATCTCTATTATTGATGATTTCACAATCCTTTTCAAAACAATGTTTTATTGTTTAAGTTACAATATGTATGTATATATAAAATATAATGAATTTGATGAATTTTTTTTTTTTTTACTAAAACTTACTTTTTCATAGTATTTTATAATTTTCCGACACATCCATATATATATATATAAATTTTTTATTTTTGTTGACTAATTTTCATATAAATAAAGCAATGTGAAAATTAATAATAACATGAAATATATCATTTATAATTATTATGATGTAATTAATTAATCATAATTTAATATTATATTAGATTTATAAAAAATTATGTAAAATTTATACTTTTATTTAATAATTTTTAAATAATTCTTAATTATAATTGACCAATTACAAAAATTCAATAGTAAAGAGAATAATACAGGTGATGTGAATCTTAAGCTCAATGCATTTGCCGACAGCTTAAATTGCAATGTGTGGATGACTAATGTGCAAAATCATTGTACTTTTTATTTTTCAATAACATCCATCATTGGGATAAATTACCCTAATATAGGGTGGCTATAGGAAAATTAATTTTGATACATTTATTTAGGCCCAAGAAATAACTAAAAATTATTTTAGTATTGGTCTTAAATATCTTTTAAAATATATGAAAATTCATTGGATATTAAGCTTTGAAAAATTATTTGATATATTGATAGTTGAGTTTGTTAATTTTATAAATAAGGTTTAGATGATAATATATGTACCAATTTTTTTAATTTTTTTTAAACTATAAAGAACATGTTATTTATTATCTTAATTTTGTTTGTAGAGTTAAAAAATTTCACTTTCAGTGTATTTGATAAATTTTTTTAAATTATATTCAATTTTATATATATATATGCTAATAATTTCTTATTTTAATAAAATCTAAAATTCAAACTCAAAAATCCAAATGTAAACATAAATTTTGTGAAAAATAAGTCATGTTTGAAAAATAAGATAAAAAATTTAGAGTCAAATAAGGAATTCTAATTTATCATGTACAATCTCTGAAAATTTTTAAATAAAAAATATTTAATTCTTTTATTCAACAATAATCTTGATAATTTGTTTTTGACTTAAATTAGTTTAGATCAAAATTAAGGTTTCTATGAGATCTTTTGTCATAACATCTTGAATCTTAGATACCCAAAAATCCCATCTAGTAAACTTTGAAAAATCTCAATTAGAAAGAAAAAAAAAACAAAAAATGAGAAAAATGAAATTGTAAATTAATAAAAAATTTTATCAAATTATAAAAAAATTGGTTAAGATCAGATTTTGATAATATATTTTACCCAAGCATGAGATCTTACACAATATATCATCTTTTCTCTTATTTTGGGTATTTAATATTTTTGTTGACTAATTCGAAACATCCTCCCAGGGCTTCTTCAACAATCATTTTTAATTATAAAATACAAATCTAAGATCTCAACCATATTTATTTTATTTTGTTTTGTTTGGTCGGTTTGATGGGATTATTTCAATGGCTAGGGACCCCAACTCCTATCTTTTGTCTATTGAAACGACCATAATTGAGTGCCTTAAACCAAAAGGAGACATCCCTTGATTTTCACTTGTATAAATGAACAAATTTATAAGATTTAAAAATATTAGTAACAACTAAAAGAACGTCTTTTATTTTTAAAAAATAGTATTTATTTATTTATTTTGTCATAAAGATAAGGCCCTCTTAAAATAGTTTAGTTAAGGGTTTTAGGCTTTACAAAAAAGGTTACAGCTTAAAAATATAAAAAAGTAGTAGATATTAGGATCCAAAATTTATTACATGTCATTTATAAAAAAATTACATAAAGTAATTTAATTAAATTTTGAATTTAAAAATTTTTAAATTTTATTTAACATATTTATTTTTTAAATCAATTCAAATAAATTTATTTATGATGATATACAATATGCAGGATATATTTCAACTTCAATTAATCATCATAATCATTGGAAGTGGGCAACCCAAATCTAACTAAATTATAATATAGTTTACACAAATTTTATAAGTTTCAATTTATAAAATTTTTTTTGTCCAACAGTTGTTTATAATTTCTTTTTATTTCTTTAAGCATTAGCTTTGGCTAAGAGTTGGCCACCGCATCCAAGAGAAAAAAAAAAAAAAAACAAATGGAATTTTATAATAGTTTGTGCCTCGGCATCTCACAAACTTGAAGGAAGGACAATTGGCTTTTCCAAGATAAAGCCTAGCTTCTGCTATAGGCAAAAAAAAAAAAAGAAAAAGCTGAATTCTTTATGATAGAGAAAAGAAGAAAGTGAAAGTTGCATCAATATTTGAAAGCACACCATAAAAGGGCTTTTGACAAAGTTATGGCTAGATTAGAAGGCTGATAAATTCAAAAGAGAGAAAGAAACAATTGAGTAACAGGAAAAATTCACCTTGGATTCTCCTTTCCAAATATCCCCACCCATGCTCTATGCTTCTGATCTAGCATCTCCTTTATTAAATCTAATTATTCAATATGAAATCAACTATAGGGCCACAAATGAAAAACACCAAAATTTTAATTTCTCTAAATTTGGTAGCTCTAGTTGAGGAAGTTGACCACCCTACCAAACAGTTGGGTCCATGATGTTTGTGAAAATCAAATACTTTCATTCTATTTGGTGTGAAAATTTGCTTCTTCATAGGTTTCTTGATCATAATTTGTTCTGCAAGACAAGTTTTGCCTAGTATAAAGATAGAAGAAGGGTTGAAAGTGTCAAAATTTGAACTCTAAATTTATTAAATGTTATTTTTTAATATTTAAAAGTGATTGTGTGGATCAATTGGATAAAATATTGGACTCTTTGCCTTATATTTTTCCATAATTAGACCCCAAACTTGCTTTTTTTATCCTTAATTATTTTCTCAAATATTTAGGAAATATTTTCTCCTCTTTGTTATTTCCCCTATCTTATAATTTGTTAAGACTATGTTTTTTTTGGATGGCGGAATGATATATTTTCCATGAAATTGAGAGAAGGGCCTTACTCTAACTCATGTAGGGTGCTTGCAGCTTTTTTTTTTTTTTTTTTTGTTTGCTTCATTGTTAAGTAAAACAAACATGAAGAAAACCAGAAGGGCCAGGTCTAGAGAGATGAAATTTCTTGCACATGCAACATTCTATGAAATAATAATGCATATGAGAATTCCTATTTCACTTCATATTTTTGCATTTCATTTCCATTTAATTGTGAAAGAGTCAAAGATGGGGTAATCAATGCTTTACTTTTCTCTTTAAAATCGTAACCATGTTGAAGAATCGTGACATTGCATATGACATATGTAACATCTTAATTCTACATTAAGATATTTTAAGATTTTATTATAATATGTGAATATTTAAATTTATATTTAAAAAATATTTTTTATGAGATAAAATCGTAAAATTTTCAGATTAAAATAATATTTTGAAATAAAGATATAATTTATTAGAGAATGCAATTTCAGTTGAAAAATATGTAAAAGACAATACGATAAAACAACATTTAGAGGAAAGACCGGAGGGGGGGAGAGAATGCTGCAATAAAGAGAAAAGGAAAATAATGAAGGAAACAAATGTTGATTCTCATATAACATTCAAAAGTGAAAAACAAATTAATCATTTCTTGTTTGCGTTCCTTTCCTCCTCCCGGGAGAAGAAGCTAGAGTAATCCCTTGAAGCAAGTACTTTCTAATTGAACTACTGGACATCCCTTGAAGCTGATCAATCTTGAAATACTTTTTACACGGTTATATGGGCATGACCTTAAAATACTGATTTTCCATTATCAAAATAAAAGTATAAAACACCAGGAAAAGTCCTTAAAAATTTAAATGATATATCTGAAAGTAAAGTGCTGTCTACAACCAAGACTAGAAAGCATGAAAAGGTAAAATAAAATTTGATTTTCAGATGTTTATTCTGAATGGGGTATATGGTTGTTTATTTTGATTTCCAGATGTTTATTCTGAAAAGATAAACCAATATTGTTGTTTATTCTGAATGGTCTTTATGATTGTTTCTTTTGGATGGTGTGCAAGGATTTGGCCAAAAAATAAAAAAATTACATATATTATAAATCAACAAAGGCATAATGGAGTAGAATTAAGTAAATACATTATCAGATTCAAGTAACTCATTGAAAAATTTGTTGCTCAAAGCTCCATTAAAATCTGATCAAGTTTCATTTTTCGTGTTTGAACTTAATTTATAACTTGATTGACTCACTCAAACTCAGTTTGATAGACTCGGACTAAGATTAATAAAATCGTAAATATTGATTTTAAACATTATATTTTTGTTTTTACTTATATATAGATTTGACTAATTACACGAATATCAAGCTCAATTAGTTACGCGAATAACTCAAGCTTAACTCAATAATAAACTATTTAAACTCAAGTTTTGTTTTCGGTTTTTAATTTGGCCCGAATAACTAATGAGTAATTTAATTCGCATATAGCGCTATAACCGGTTGTCTCAAGTGGAAAGTTGGTTAGCTTTAATGGTGAGTGATCTTGGATTTGAATATTACCAAGACCCATCTGGCTCATTTTTCAGCCATAAATTGTAACTAAAAATCCACAGTTTGCATGATGGCCTAGTCACTGTTTATAATCTTTAGAAGTGAAAGGAGGAAGTAGGAAGAAGTGAGAGACATCATCCTCAAAATGAAGTGACAACAAATGTTGAGGGTGATCTGTTGACAAAAAGTCTTCACTGACATTAGAACCCAGAGAAACCACATCAAGAATTATCAAAACAAAATTCATCTGTCAAGGGCTCAAAGCTCAAAATTGCAATTCAGTAAATGTACATCAGTTACTACTAAATCATGATCACTCAAACTGACAAGCTTTGCAAGAATGCGATGCCCAAATATTAAAGCCATACATATGAAGTTCAAAGATTTAATCATGACATGTTGATCCATAGTCGATTGCTTTCATCCAAACCAGAAAGGAGAAGAACAAGCATAAGCAGAAAAATCACATATCTATAAAATAGATCTAATAACAACAGCCTTAACAGTCTAAGGACAAGTACATGCGTGCTTAAGCATTCTCAAAGACTTTACATAACTATTTCAATTGTATACTAACCAAGAGCTCTGTTATACAAAGAGCACTCGCACTGAATCTGGGAACTTTGGTTGCCGTCAGATGAGCAAATCCCAGAAATAAGAATCAATACAATCATGCTTCTTTGCTACATTAAACACAAGCCAAAATGTTTCTGACTAGGAGAAACCTATCACGGAAGAAAAGGTTGAGAAGCTTTGAAGCAGAACTCCCATAACTTTGACACTGTAAAGTCGTCGAGTTGGAGATTTAATGGCGGCAAAGATGCATCATGCTATAGGTGCAAACTTACATTCACAATGATTGCTGACCACGAAACTGATATCATCTCAAGTGATGATCTCTTTCACAAGCCAGTCTAGACTAGGATATGCGAAGTACAAAATGAGAAATGAAGGGAGAGCAAACAGAACACTAATAAGAACGTACAGGGCCAAAATGGCTGCACTGGCAGGTATTGCATACAAGATTATTAAGAGAAATATGATGACCAGAGGGAACTTGGCTGTCAAATGTATAAAAAACACCAGAGATTTCCGAAGGAAAGACTGTATTCTATCCGCATTGAAGTAATTGGCAAGATGAGTATCATTGTGGCTTGCTACTGATGACTCGGAATGATGAGGATGTTGTCCCCTTTGAAGGTTACTCCGAGTCACTTGGTTTCCTAAGGCTAAATTGTTGTTTGATGGCCAGTCTGGCTGACGATCTTCACAGAAAGCAGAATGAGACTTCAGTCTATCACCATTCATGCTCTCAACCATCCAAAGTAGAAAATAATTCTTACGAGGGAACTTGAGATTTCCCCTATAAACCAGACGAAAAGACAAGAGATTGCACCATGGGCAGGAGATAAAAAGCGGAAGTTGAACTGGTAGAGTTGGAAATTTCACAACAGCCCATTGAAGTCCTAGAATGCAGTTTTTACAAAGGGTATGACCACACCACAAAACATAGGGCACATTTTCTATGATGTTGAAGGATTCACAGCATATTGGGCACTCTAAACCTTCATCCCTGCTAACTACAGAAGAACCTTCATCATCTGAACATTCTGATGCAGCATGAGTTTGCTTTAGTGAATCATTTCTCAGTCCAACAGTTCCAGCAATGCAGTTGGATGCAAAACTCCACATGTTGATAGGAGGAACGCAAGTAATTACACAGAGAACACCATTTTCTAATAGCGGAATTAAGCCTTGATAATTACAACGTAACGTCAAAACTGAGAGCGTCCATCTGCCAATTACATATACCAACAGTGCTGAGTACCAAAAGTCAACCTGAATAGAAAAATAAGAAGCAAGCATGACAATCCCCTACCATAGACAGAAATACTTCAGCATGCTTTTCCATTTTGACTGCATGCAACTATTGCTAACGTATCAGTCTAGCAATCTGTTATAGTTAACCTACTATCAGTACACATGCGTATAACACTACAAATTCAAAGGGAAAACTCTACGATTTACTCAGTCATAGATCTTCAATAAAGAAGCAAGAAACTAAAATCCAGGGTGGTTAGTATGCACCAAAGTGGAAATTCTACACCAATTAAGATGATTGTTGGCCTTCTAAGTTTGAAGCAACTCTAATTCGACAAAATATGCCTCAATTCTCATCTTAAAAAAAATCTCATTGGAAAACCAATTCTGTCTACTCTTTTTAAAAAGACTACTTGATATCAACAAATGTCCTCTAAACCATATGCTTGATGCACAGTTGTCTTTCATCAAGCTATTGACACTAGATTTACAGCTGCAGCCATGCAAATTTGCCTTGACTCAAGATCAAGTTCAAGTTCAACACATCCAAGCTAAGACAGGCTAATATAAGTTATCATACAACTTCATTTTATATCAAATCTTTAGATGCTAAAGATCACAAATAAAAGCCCAACTCCTAAGAATAACAGATCATCTAAAGTCAGAAAAAAGCGACAAACCAAAAATAAATACACCTCCTCCAAAATTACAGCAGAAGGAAAAAAAAAAAAAAAAGCTTCTTGATCAATTTAAGCATCAGCCATTTCATTCGAAAACTACTATTGACAATTGATATATACAAGAACCAATCAAGTGCAAGTTGAATCACTAATTGTTAGGTACGAAAATGAAAGAACCAATAAAGGAACACACTTAAAATAATCATTTAACATGAAACCCAGAAAGAAACAACTGAAACCCAGAAAGAAACAATAATAAGGAAAAAAGTCAGGGAACAACCCAACAATGAACTCAAAGAAAGCTTAACCCCAAAAAACCCAGAAAAGAAGAAAATAATTAAAAAAGGTATGATCTTTACAATTAAAAGCATCTTTTAACAGTAAATAATAATAAAAAAAGAAGATGGAAACTTGAAATATTGATCTTACAGAGTATTGGGTATCTTGATTTAATGATAACAAAGAGAGAAAAGGAGAGTTTGCGAGCTCCCATTCTCTCTTTTTTCTGTCTGCATTTTACTTTTTTTTCTCTGTTATATATATATACATAGTTTTTCTGACTCTGGAATTTGATTTGTCTTCTAAAAATGAAAAGAAGGGTAAAATTGGGTTTTTACTTTTTAATTTTATTTGTCATTAAATATCATATTATAAAAGTAATTATATAAATTAATTTAATTAAATATAATATTTTTGTAATACCATTATCAGCTGGGTCTTCGTGTCACGGACTCAAAGGGGAGTCCTGAATCTCACATCGAATATAATAGGAAGGTCACTGGGGTATAAAAAGGTTCACACTACCTCTGCCTTGTGAGACGCCTTTTGTAAGACAAAACCGTGAAGCCAGAGGGGTCAGAGCGGACAATACCTCACAAGGGTGTAAACCGTGACGGTCAAACTGATCTGAGAAACCGAAAGGGTGAATGTCCGGATCCCGAAACCGCGCGAATTCGAAGCTTAAGTCTCGATCCGTGACACTCGTATTATATTAATTGGTCAGACTTTTTTCACTGATTTAGGTTTCAAAGTGAGATGAAATTATTACCCATTGACTATATTATTCTTACCGAACCTTATCAACTAATAAAAGAAAAGATGTTTGCAAACTGCAACATAAAATGTTTATGATTTATTAATGATTGTCTTTTGTTTTTTTGCTTAAAGCTTATGCCCACTCTAATATTTAGGGATAATATCCAAATATTATGTTGTTATGTTGTCTTGAATGCTTGGTAAATGTAGTTTAAAATTTGTTTTTTGTTTTTTGTTTTTGTTTTTGTTTTTTTTTTTTTTTTTTTCTAAATTCTAAACTTTAACAAAGTGGAATTGTATAGTAAAAGTAAGAATACTCTTACAAAAATTAGTTAAATCACCAATTTTTTTTTTTTCACATGTATATACGTTAGATCAGCAAGATTTAATGTGATAAGTTTTTTATTTTTTATTTTTTTATAATAGTGATAATTTTTTTTATTGAGTTTACAAAATAGGTGCAAGAGTCAAATTTTGTTTTAAAAATGTTATATCTAATCTACCTTGACTAATGATTAGATAATAAAATTTTTGTATATTTAAATTAAAAATTCAATACTTTACCGATAATTCATTTTGATAGAAAGGAAATTAAAAAAAAAAAGAAAACTAGGAAAAATCACAACATGTCATAATTGGCAAAGAAGTTTTATTACAAAGAAGATATTTGTCATGGAGTGGATTCAGGTTCATAGAAACTAAACTTTATTGTAGAAAGAGTGGGGGGCATTGGAGTATTGAACCAACCAAAATTTGTAGCATTATTTTCGCTTTCCATTCAAGGTGGTCATTTGGCCTTAATGACAAAAACATTACTGCATATTTTCTAAGCCGACCTCCAATTCCTTCATTTGCTGTCATAGGAATCAATGGACCTGATCTAGTCCTCATCCTATAGCAGCGCCAAGCAAACTGTTTATTCACAGCTGCCCATGTCCTTCAACTTGAAGAGTAGTATCTTGCTGTTCTCGAGTTAAATTTTGTACCAGAAGTGTTCAGTAATGTACCGAAGATCGTCAGCATCGAAACCAAAAGCTTCTGTGTGTTGATTGCAGGTAAAAGTTGCTGATGAGGCTGGAAGACGGTCTATAAATGGGCGACGAAGGCACCAGGAGAGGAGTTCATCACCTAGAAATCCACCAGGTTCAAGTACACTGGTGGCTATTATCCCTTTGCTGAGGCCTTGACTACGTTTAGCATGTCCGCGAACAATAAACACCATCCTTTGTACCGGATCCCCTTCTCTAATTATCTGTTTCATTAAATATAGGACAAAAAATTGTTCAACAAATTTCATGATGTTATAGCAGGGCAGTGAAGTAATCTGTTCGTTCTGGACCTTTTCATCTTTAGAGTAAATAAGAGGCTTGACACGATCACAGATGTCGTCAACATTAAGGTCATATAGGCTATGGAAAAGTGGTATCTGAGAACAAGTTGCAATCATAAGGATTACTGAGATGAAGTTAACTGTCAAATTGTATATCAGATATAATTTTCTTTGAAATTTTGTTTCCGATGTTTTTGTTACCTTTCTGATCAAGTCAAGGCAAAGATAGCGCTTGATGTCCCTCCGGAGCCATTGTGGAAGCTCTTCAATCCATTTCATCTCTTCTTCCCCTCCCTTGGTTTGGCTTTCAAAATGGCCTATTCTTTGTCTTAAACCAGAAGGCAACTGCCTTCTTCTCTTCCACCATTCAACATCTCGACGCCTCAACTGCAATTTTTCCTGTTTGCCATAACCACATGGAGAAATACCTGTATAATAATCACAAAGCCATTGTCAATGCCACTTTCTCCTATAAATTCAAAATCCCCCTTTTTTACAAAGTAATGAGAGTAGTTCTTCACCTGAATATTCCCAATCAGTAAAGTCAAGAGAAGTAAGCACCCCAGGACAGTGCAAATGCTGAATACCACCTCTAGAGGGTTACTTGTAGGGCTAAGCTTGTTGCCAAATGAGATCCTACAGCATGGTCATATGATGAATTTAAAGCTGGTTCTAAAACACAGAAATCCAGGTATTTTTCTTAGCATACCAAAACAAATATCAACTCAACTTGAGTCATATATATATTTTGATTGTTGGCAGTGTCAAGATATATCATACAGCAATGCAGAAATGCATTGAAAATCTTGTGAGAATATTGAAGTCATAAGTTTTGATTCTTTTGTTGGTTACCTCAGGTTCAATAAACCCCAAAATATGTGATGAAGGATCTTAACTGCAATAGAATTGCTAGAAATGACTAGGAGGACGGGTTCATAGATCCCATAATATAAAAATTAATTTTATTCATTAATAATTAAATCCTTTTATCAAGCGTAGAATACACCACATTCTAAACTACTAACAATCTTCCATTATTTTAGGATGTTGGTGTTTAATTTTTATCTTTCACATAAATAAATATTATGAATACCAGAAAATATCTTTCAATTTAAATATTCAATTAACATATATATCTTAGAATTCTAACAAGGTTGATGCTGTTCGCAAATTAAACCTCAACTCTTAAATTAGAATTGAAAATATAACACATATAATACTTATTTATTCTTCTGTCAGAGCTTTATAACTATTTTCAGCATTATTATGCCTATGTACTTATCCTATTCATAAATATTTACTAGAGAGACTTTAATTTTTCTTGTTGAAGTGGCACAACTTTTATGTTTATATAGGTAGAGTTTTTATTATATCTTCATTGCTTTAGATTTTAAAACTCTATTAAAAGTATAAAAACTTATCCTCTTCACACAATGGATCACACTAGTTTTTAAAATTTGAATAGATTTTACTAGGACTTAATAGACACATAACAATAACTTATTTTTATCCATTAAATTTTGTAATTAGAGGTTACTAATTCAAAGTTGGGTTTTCATTATTGGTGTTTAATAGTAAAGATTTAAATCTATTCTACTTATAGTACTACTAACTAAATATCTTGAAATTTAATTTTCTTTATAGTAATTTCTTCCACTTGAGATTGAATTTATCATATAATTACTTTAGGCTAATATATCCAAACTTTTTATTTTGCATATCATTTATAAGTTCCAAACATTATTGCCTCATTTTTATCATTTTAAGAAGTAGTTGGTATTGATTGTGGCCACAATTCTATATTCATTAATTTCAACCATTTTATTTTCATACTTTTATATAGTTTCAAACAATTATACTTTTAGTACAATTGAATAAACTCAATAAATAAACCAAACCATTTTAGTCATTTTAAGATTTTTAAGGACTTTTTAATGATTTTACTTTAATAAGTGTCTAAACTTATTAGTTTGTATAATTTGCTCATAAAATTATACTAAAATCTTACAACACTATAGTGGCAATTTTTATTTTTTATTTTATTCTTATCAACCTCATCATGTGTAAGTATGCATTCTTTATTAAAGAATATCTCATTCAATTGGTCAAGATATCATATATACTTATTCAAAATTACCATTTCATTTATCTTTTCACTATTTATATATTTTTTTTAAGTAGAAGGCCTCCAAATCATCTTGAATGAAAAATAACTAGCAAATATCTTAATATTTCTATAAAAGTTTTGAAACATTTATATTTTAACTTAATATTAGAGTTTATATCAAGAAGCATATTTCAAATATAATTATGTTTCGATAGTCTTTTTTTAAGACTTTTTATGTCAATTCATAAATACTTATATGAATCTATTTTATTATGGACACTATTAATAATTTTTATTACCATGAACAAAACCATTTTCATTACCCAAATAGATCAAATGACATTCTTTTTGCTATTATAAAAGTTTTCATATTCACAAGATTTTTGAATCACTCATGGCTTCCAAAATAAATATACTTTGAAATTTTCACTATATAAAACCATAGATGATAAATTATTTGTATAATCCATGAATTAGACCATATACATAACAAAAAATTACGACAATGTGATCACGATTGTGGCATCAATTTTGGCTTGTAGTTATTCTAAGCCAACCATAATAATCAACATCATACCTACAAATCATGTAGATTTGGCTGTTGAAGTTATCTCATTTGTAATGATAGCTTTTAGTAAAAACCAACTATCTCAAATGTTATCATGAGTTTTCAATGCATATATTAATTGCCTAATGGCCAATTGCAAGTTTATGACTATTAAAACTTTTAAACTTGATTTCAATATTTTATGAGAAATTTATTTCTCCACCATTGTGCAGCCTATATATCTCTGTTATTTATCAATTTTAATTTGTCATAGGATTTTTGGATATATAATAAATTTAAACTTTACTCATAGGACCAATATGCCTATGTATAATAAGAATCCATAGTATATTTAACACCAATTTCAAATACTTTCACAATCATTTTATGATTAATATGTTCATATCTAGATCACCATATCAATGTAAGTCATGAAACATGAATCCAAAGAATCATTTTCATAAAATGGTATAAATAATAATTATAATATGAGTTCTACTTAT